GCCAGGTGGGGGAGGCCTGGAAGGGGGAGGGGGTGACCCTGGACAGCTCGGCCCCGGTCCACTTAACCGCTGCCCCAGGCATTAGTGGTGCTCTGTGAGTGGGCCCTTCTCCGCGGCACTTAGGGCGTGGGGTCTTCTGGGACCTGGACACCCGCAAAACAACTGGCCTCTGCGAGTCTCTCTGGGGCTCCCGAAAGAAATCCTGTTTAGCGTCCTCTGTCTATGCAGCTCTCCTCTCAACTGAAACCACTGGTCCAAGACAGCCACAATCCAGATATACTAGCAAGTCATAAAACTGAACAAAAGCCGACAAACCTTAAGGCACCAGGGCTATAGGGCCCAGACAAATTACGACCGTCTAGGTAATATTTAAATAGATGCCTAAAGTAATTGCAGGGGGCTCGGGCTAGCCCTCCTGTTGTAAAAGTGGTGGACAGGATAGAGTGGAAGGTGAAGATAAGAAGTCAAAAATGAGGTAAAATTAAAAAAGCTTCATTCCACAGCTTTTATTCTCTAGGAACATAAACATCATCTTTTCCACGCACAGCAGCAATACAATATTAATTTATTCTGATTTAAGATTTGAAGTAAATAAAGCTAGAACTAACATTTATAATAACGATAGAATGCATTTGCTTAAACAAGATTGGCAATTTTTCATAATAATAGACATTTATACAGATTTGTACTTATAGTTTTTTTTCTTTTTCTGCACCTACAGGTTTGACCCTTTTATGCATGTAACTTCACAGTATAAAGGAAATCCAAACAATGTCTCCCTTCTCTCATCTGTTTGCCCCAGCCCTCCAAGGCTTCCATGAATTTCAGAAAGCCTACGAAACAAAAAAAAAAGGTGAATTAAAGCAAAACAACAAGAAAAAGAAAACCCAATTCCATAAAATAGGGAGAATCGTGGTGTGCTTTTCGAGTGTTACCAATGGTAACCATTTTAATGGCAAAAATCCACTAATTCCATATGTATAAACAAACCTATACTATTTCTCAACAGCCAGGATATGGAAATTCAAAGGTAAATGAAGGGTTTTAGTCAGGCAAGCAAGACCTTAGGCAAACGGGAAGAGAAGGTTTCTTCTCTTGGCCATTTTTATTTTCATTGAACTGGGAGATCTTACAGAGGAAGGACGGACAAAATAATCTTTCTGATTATTTCTTTTTCATTTTTTTTAAATCAGCCTTTAGCTAACCTGCATGCCCATGTTTCGATACTCTGCTCTTGGCCAAGGAAGAAAAGAAGGAAGAAAAGAGAAATCAGGCCTGTACTCCCTGATTAAACACAGCCCAGAACTCCAGGCTGGCGAACCCGGTGGCGGCTCCTTGCACCATTGACCTCAGGCCAGACACCTCAGCGCCGACAATGGAACCTAGGGCTTCCGGCTAAGTTTACCCAGGGCTGGGCAGGAAACCAGATCCATGTAGGAGTACTGGGAACCCGGGGGCAGCGAACCCAGCCCAGTCAGGACTTGACAGTGAGGACAATCTCAATCTCTATAGAATTTTAGCGATATGGCTTTTTCCCCCAGAAAACAAGTAAACCAACACCAAGCAAACAGACAAAGAAACAAAAAGTCAGAACAAACCAGCCCTGCACAGACGAAACGGCCTGGGAGATGGCGAGTGTGGAAGGGAGTAAATGGGGCTCCGGCACAGGTGCGAGTTCTGGGGCAGAGGCTGGAGGCAGAAGGGGGGGGTACAGGCGCTCTGGAAGCGAAAACACGGCTTTGCCTGGAAGTTTCATCAGGAAAAATTAAAATTGGCTGTGAGCTCCCGGATTCGGTTTTCCCGGTTCATTTTCTTCAGTTTCATCCTGCGATTCTGAAACCAGATTTTCACTTGTCTGTCCGTGAGGTGGACGCTACGGCTGATCTCTAGGCGCCGCTCTCGAGTAAGGTACATGTTGAATAGAAACTCCTTCTCTAGTTCCAGCGTCTGGTGCTTCGTGTAGGGGCAGCGTTTCTTTCGGCCGCTCTTTGCCGTGAGCCAGTTGGCTGCATTTTCGCCTTTGGAATTGCCTGGAGATTAAGAGAATACAGAGGGGAAGGTTAAGTCGAGGCCACTCAGGCTGTGCGAGGGGGGTGAATTCTGGGTCTTTCCCATTAGAGGGATGCCCGAAGTCATAGAGAGAGGGTTATGCCCTCCTTTGACTTTCGGAGAACAAGAAATTCCTCCAAAAGGCATGACAAAATCGAGTGGGCCTCAAATCCACACCCGGTCCTCCCAATTTACATTTTCCTCTACTTTTTTTCCAGGCACCTGTTTTAGCACCACGCTGCGGGGCGCTTGGAGAATGAAAGGCCGGAGTAGGCAAGGCCGTACATCTTGAACTTAACGCCTTTCTCTGCCTCTCACCCAGTGGCAGGAAAGCATTTCCTGCCGCCCCCAGACTTGGGAAAAGGGATGCTTATTCGGACGAGAACCCTGCAGCTTCATTGGCTTACCCTAGCCCCCTAGATTGCTCTAGGCCAGAGGAGAAGGACACAGTTGGGCCAATAGGGAAGTCCTGAAAAACCGATCCTAGGGTCAAGGGCTGTTCCGCCCCTGTCTCTCCAAGAAACTGGGGTGTGCAGCTGGGCGACACCGAATTCCAAGAGAAGGGAAATGGCCACTCCTAGGTTTTCAGTTCAGGGCCCAGGCGTCCGGGCGGGATTTGCCTTTTCTTCTTCTTGCAGCAAGGATTCCCGCCCCTCCAGGAACTTTGAAAAAGGCATGGGGGATCGTAAACTCGAACTTCGCCGGTTAATGGGCTTATTTATTGGCGCTGGCGGCTGCTTATTTTGGATGCCCTACAAACATCCCTGCTCTGTGCAGGGGAGCCACTTTCCCTCCCTGCCCCTCCCCCCGCGTGGGCCGCGCTGAGCAGGCTGGGCTGGGGATCAGGGCTTGGGGGGTACTCGGGGCCACAAGAAAGTGCATGCACAGGAGGAGGGCTGCTCACTGGTGTCCTCATCCCCCGAGTCTGGGGGAGCTTGGGCCAGGGCTAAGGACGTCTTGGTGTGGGGCACTAAGCCGGACATGGATTTTTACAGCGTCCCCACGCCCAAATATTAAAAACAAGTTCAGAAGGTCAGGCTGCCTTCAGCTCGGGCCAAGGCCTGCGGCTGCCGCGCGGGCTCCTGGTCCTTTGCTCCTTCCTTGTGGGTCTGTCTGTCTGTCTGCCCGCCTGACTTGAGCCCTCTGATGCGCTCTGCTTACCCAGGGAGTCCTTCTCCGGCGAGGCTTTACTGTTTTCAGAAGGGGCCGGGGACAGCTCCT